AAGAAAAAATGATTGGAACACAGGAATTAAAACAAGTATTACTGACAAAATAGGGATATCCTCAGTACAATATATCTTAGCGCACATGTGGCAGAATGCGGAAGGTATGGTGGCTCCTGTGAGGACCGAACACACTCAGGATTAATCTAGAGAGACAAGATGGCTAACCGTTACCGGGCGTACAGTGCTAATGCGTTTACTATAAAAAAAATAAAAAAAACGCATTAAAAATCAAGACGATTGTCAGTGGTCAAGTGTTAAAGCAAATATTACGGATAGATAATATAATCTTTAGATTTTATCTATAAGAAATGCATTAGAATCAGTGGTTGAAAATTAATGCAAGCGTTACCGACTGACTCATTCTGTGAGGTGCTGATAAGTCCTCGCCTCAGCCAAGAGTCCTTTCTCCACAAAATTCTGTTGTTTGGTCCGATTTTTGCAAGTGTGTTAGCGCCAGAAGTTTTTCGGCAACCCTTCCTGTGTAGAATACAATCCAATCAAGTTTCAACCTTGAATTAAAGAATCGTAGGTCTATGTTCAATGTTAGTCTTACATATGGAGAACCCGTTCTCCATAATTAAGGTAATTGCCACAAACCATATATATATATATATATATATATATATATATATATATATATTTTTATTTATTCAAAAATTATAACATAAATACGTTATAACATCACTACAAAAATAGCTATTTTGTTTCAACACTCCTGGTGTCTTATACCGGGTCTAACAGCAAAATTGTCCAAATCGTGTAACTGCAAAATTGTCCAATTGTTAGATTAAGATGTCAACTGTTGTATCTTAGAAATGATTAAAGATATATTACTGGAATTCTCCGTAGTTTTTATAACACTATTGAACTCTACTTTGAGCAATAACAATGTATAATTACTCTCCAAGCTTAACACAAGAATCGTGATGAAATCGATCATAAACGAAAATGACATATTCATTAATTAATCATAGCTAAGGATCAGAAGCTCATGAAGTATTGAAATAAAGTCCAAACATATATATATATATATATATATATATATATATATATAGAGAGAGAGAGAGAGAGAGAGAGAGAGAGAGAGAGGGGGGGGAGAGGAGGTACGGTGGATATCGGCTTGGATTGTGGAATCGCAGAGCCGAGTTCGAATCCAGGTTGGATCCATTACATTCACTTACGTGCTAATACCCTTGGGAAAGATGTGAATCTTATTCTTCTCCCTCCAGCTATGGGTTAAATAGCAGGACAGACTGGGTTCTATAGCCTTGGATGGCAACTGGTCTAGGAGAAGGACAACTCTGAATTCAAAAACTGAGGGGGGTTGTTTGCCGACCTTGTGGCACGCAGTGCACCAGGTCTCTGTATTTGGCCCTTCAAAAAGTGTGGATGGTCCTGCACGAAACCTTCACCACTATAATCAAATCTCATGTGTCGGTGTCGGGCTGTCAGTTTCCAGGAAACTGATCTGCTTGACCCTCATACGTCGAACCCGACGTGAGAATCGATTATATATTTATATATATTCCAGGATCATTTTCTAACTTATTCAAGATGATCTTCGTCCTTTCTAACTTTAATTTTCTGTCCTGGAGTAACAAGGTACTTCACAGGTTTCACGTACGATTTCATTTTTTAAGTCATTTTTTTTTCACAGCCATTTGGACGATCAAAGCTGAAACTCCTCTCTCAAACGTCTTATGGATTAAGTCGGATCTTTTCTAATTGATCTCTTTAGTTCTAAGTTGAAATGATGATCGCTCTTGTTGTTGTGACTTCCTAATACAGTTTTCCTCTCTACTGTTCCATCTTTTTAAAACTTATTCACTGTTCTCTTGATGATTCTTGAATGGACTTTGAAGATGGAAGCCAGAATATGAATGTGTCTACCATTACTGAAGGTCTGGATAATCTTTTTCCTCCCACGATTGGTAAGACATAGAGAGGCTGACACAAAATGATTTTAACCTGTTCTCTTTCTAGCTGAATACCACAAAGGATTTTTCAGTGATTCTTACGACAAATGGCGTCCAGATGGTTAAACCTCTTATCTAAAACCCTGTAAAAAAATAAATTCAATAAGTGTAGTGATTTTTTAGATATTAAAATTTTGTGGGGTCGATAATTATTCTGTTACACGATTTGTAGAGTTTTGATGTACCATCCGGTATATATATATATATATATATATATATATATATATATATATATATATATATATATATATATTCTTCCATTTCTTCCTTCCCCACTTTTTTCCTCCCACCCTGCTTCCACATTTGCTTTCTTATATCTTTTCTTCTTTTTCTCTTTGTCTTTTTTTTTGTGAGATGACTTATTAAATAGGACAATATCTGGTCCTATCTCTCCCTTTCTTCTCTAATTTCGACCATATCTGTCGACCTCCTCCTCCACCTCTCTCTATAACCTTACATCAACTTAAAACTACACCTCAAAATTGTATAAAAATTATACGTAAATTTAAAACCGTTTTATGCTTGGAATTGTGATCTGGGGAAATAAAATATACAATATAAAACGACCCCTTAAGGTTGTCTGTTTTCTAATTTTAATTATATTATTATTATTATTATATACATATATAAAAAATAATGTGAGTAAAAATTCGTCACTTCGTTGATTGATGTTAGCTTAAGCATCCCCACTCCAGAGTTTCGTCTACTTCAAAAGCTATTAACAATTATATATATATATATATATATATATATATATATATGTGTGTGTGTGTGTGTGTGTGTGGTTCTATAGAAGGACACTGAGAATATTATGGACAGAACATGTGGGCAACGAGGAAGTTATAAGAAAAATAAGAACAAAAAGGACACATGCATAGAATCAGAAGAAAAAAAAATTATAGTACTTATAATGAGGAAAGAGGGCTTGGAAAATCTGGCACTCCCAAGACATACTGAAGGCAAGAGAGACAGTCGAAAGCAGCGAATCGGCTACCTAACTAGATTGTGTAAATGCATGGCAGAACAGGGACTGGAAGGACAGTGAAAAGACAAACATTGTTAAGATCTACAAAGAATAGGAAGTTGTGGAGAGCCATGATCTCCTACAGCAGATATGATATTGCGTATAGAAGAAGAAAAAATAGGGAAGGTAGAAAATAATCCTTGAAAGTTTAACCTTTATATTATTATTATTATTTGTGTATGCTATTTTTCCTGCATTATGGTGGAGTAATGGATAACGGCTCGGATTGGGTAATCGGAGATCCGAGTTCGAATTCCTGTTGAAACCATTACGTTCACTTACGTGCTAATACCCTTGGGAAAGGTATGAATCCTCTTCTTCTCCCAGCTATGGGTAAATAACAGGACAGAACGGGTTCTATCACCTTGGATGGCAACTGGTCTACCGCAGAAAGAAATGGCAACCTGCTGCGGAAAAAAATCTGCCTCGTCAGTCATGATCGCCTAAGCGTGTATCACGCATGGCACATAATTGATTGGTCCAAACTATAGTCCTTAGGCCCTATAGAAGAATTGTCATTTAATTGATAGCACTTTTTTTAGTATATGGGATGTTACTAGTAGGGCGAACTTCTGAGCAACTTGTACGTTGATGTCACCTGGGACACTGTTAGTAAAATTGTCCATTCCTTTTCTCACGGGACCCAGTGCTCCGATTACTATTGGTACAGTCTCAGTCTTCATTCCCCACACTCTGTTAATCTCGATCTCCAGGTTCTTGTACTTGGACTATTTCTCGATAATTTTCATAGAGGTCTTTCTCTCAGATGGTACTGCTATGAAAATAAGCATATGTAAGTTAACAGTTTCTTTTTGCTTGCTTTCCAGCTCAATTTGATCTTCAAAAATTTAGATGCAATGTCAATCGTTATCTTCTCAATTCCTGATCTTTTATTGCTCTCTCTCTCTCTCTCTCTCTTTCTCTCTCTCTCTCTTTCTCCCCTTAATAATGTTTTCTTTTTCTCATATTTTCTCACACTCAGTAACGGCCCAACATCTTTGTTGTTATATTGCCTTGAAGTGAAATGAGTAAAAAAAAAATCTAACTGAACGAGACACTAAACAAACTACCGTATATACTCGCGGATAGGTCGCAATTTTTTGACAAAAAATTTCACAAAATATATCCGCTTGACATAAATTTAAAACAACACTATCTTGTCTTCATGATTTCCTAGAAATAGAACAATTTATCTATCATATATACTGACTCACTGCTTTAAACTAACCTCATGCTTCTAGATTCACGCATGCATTACAATAAATAAATAAAATTATAAAATATTCATTGATCCATCAGTTACCGTTCAGTTGGGGGCCTTCGCACTAGAATGATATAAAAACCCTGAACATGCATACATAAGTTAAAGAACCACGTGTAGATGTTTCTTGACAAAGAAAAAATAGGCCCACAATTCATTCTGCAAAATATATATATTTTGTCAAAAATACTTTGGAAAATATGACTTGAGGAAATATTCTTTAGGAGATAATTTTCTTTAATGGTTGTTTCATATAACATTAAAGGGCGTTCTTAAGTGTTATTTACAAATAACAAAGCGCATGAATCTAGTACCCAAAAAGTGTGCACTATTTTGCATTGCGCAGCGATGTAGTTAGTATCCAAATTTATAGTTTATAATTTTGATTAACCCTAACATGAGTAAAATAAAGATTTATGAAGCAGGTTTTAAAATAGATAAACACTTTTTTCTAAATGTACCGTAACATTTTCTTCTGTAGTTATTTATTTATTTATTGTCGAATTGACTCGATATAAAAATAATGTGCGGTAAATATAAAATCACCAGCACAACAGTTACTTCCTTTAGTTTACATGGTGATTGACGAAACGCATTTTAACTCCCAGATTATAGTGCGACCTATCTGCGCGTCAAGAGTAAATTATCAATTATTAAGCCATAAAGTAGTGGGGCGCGACCTATTCGGTGGGACGACCTATCCGCAAATATATATGGTAATCATTTTTTTAAAAAAATGTTTTTACTTCTTTCTTTTTACTCACCAGGAACGCGAGAAGCGGCCTTTGTTCACGCGATTTCAGCGGCTGCCGTGGCGCATGCCGTGACCCGAGCCTGTAGTAGCGGCAAAATGGAACGGTGTGGCTGCGATCGGACTGTTCACAAAAACGTCACCGTACAGAATAGCTTCATCTGGTCAGGTTGCTCAGACAATGTTGCCTATGGTGCAGCATTTTCACAAAGATTTGTGGACGCTCGCGAAAGGCGACGGAAAATTAATGGACGTGTACTCATGAATCTACACAATAATCAAGCAGGACGAAATGTAAGATTTATATATATATATATATATATATATATATATATATATATATATATATATATATATATATATATATATATATAATTTTTTTTGTCACTCCTTTGCGCCTATATACAAGATGTGATTAATAAACAGGATCTCAGCATCCTTCTGTATAATCATAATTAAGCGACACAAAAAATAATTTATTGAAATTTCATCAAATTTAATGGGGGGGGGAGGGTCAGATGTAAAAAAAAAAAAAAATTGCCAACATTTTCTAAAACGGAAGGTTTCAAATATAATTTAACTAATTTCTGATTACGTCCTGAAAGTTTCATTAAAATTTGCCAATTATTTGATTTTTGCAAGAATTTCAAATCAATGTGTTTGTCACCGTTCAAGTTTGTCGTACAAACTTAAGTTTCAGCGTTGACACCAGATTTTAAACGAAAATGTCCCAGGTTCTAAAAGCGATTTAAAAAAATTACATTAAAAAATTGATCTATTCTAAATATTGGGTTGGTGCATAGTTATCAGGCGTTTTTTAAACAATATTTATTATGAAAAAAGAAACATTACAATTCAACAATAACATATTTAAATGATTATTCCCGACCGTATGATTATCGACACGCATTTTTATACCCTGAAAATAAAATAATATTTTTATTAAAAATAGTAATTTTTATTAACAAATAACTCGCCTACAAAAACGCCTGATAATTATGCACCAACCCAATAATAACACCCAGAGTTTGATGATAAAAATTGATTTTTATTATGTTTTGAGCATTTTTTCATGCATCTTTTTTTAGCGAATTGTTGCACAAACACCTGCACAAACACCCCCCCATATATATATATATATATATATATATATATATATATATATATATATATATATATATATATATATATATATTATTTTTTAAAGTACGCACCATTTTTATATTTTCCGGTGAGAATTTGACCAGTGTCTTTCAAAGTCATTATCTAAGTTAAAGATGTTAGCTGTAAAGTAAAAAAAAAAAACAATTATAAGTAAAAGAAAAAAATAAACAAGGAAGCAGACAAAAATGTCATGTAATAGTAACAAACATATCACGCATATTTCAATAATAATAATAATAATATTTCAATAATAATAGCAGCACGACGTGAGATATTGACAGGATATTTGAAAATAACGAAATGAAACAAAAATCAGAGCAAAAACATTTATCTATCGTCGCGTTAGTCCACAACACTATAAAACCTCTAAAGAACCACAATGAATACACATAAACACAACCCTATCCTCCCTAAAAACAACTTACACACACACACACATATATATATATTTAAACATATAGACATCCATAGACAGACTGTCTCGCTGTATCACAGCTCATCAGTGCGGCTGCCTTTAGCTAAGATCGAAACGCAGCTTTCGGCTCACAGGTGCTCTCTTCAGAATGGTTATGCATAGCAATCTTCTATGTCAACATAACAGAATATAATCTTTGATGGTGAATATCTCTGTATAAATGTCCGCATAACAACTCTGTAGATGGCTCATGTGAGCTGAAAGCTTAGATCAAGGAATAGCTTAATAAAAAAAAAATACCCAAAAGTTTCACCCGAAATTAAAGCAAACATACGAGCATTAGAACGGCTCATGATCAAACATAATAGACATTCATTGTCTGTTATATTTAACAATATAAGTTTCAATAATGATCTGCTCCCCCAATATATTAGATTTATATATATATATATATGTGTGTGTGTGTGTGTGTGTGTGTGTGTGTTTAAACGCACACATAAATAAATGCATATATATACATACACACACAAATACATATATATAAATATATATACACACACAAATGAATATACATATATATATTCACACACACACACACAAATACATACACACATATATATACACACAGATACATACATACATATATATATATGCACAGACAAATACATACATACGCACAAACACACATATATACATATACACACACAAATATAGACATACATATATATATATATACATGCACAAATACACACACACACATATATATATATTTATATATATATATATATATATTAGTTGTTTTATGGTATCGGTAAATTTGCCAAAGTTCATATTTATTTTTATTTTATATTATTTATTATATTATTATTATATATATTTTATATATATATATATATATATATATATATATATATATATATATATATTTCAAATCCTTTTAATTAATGTTTGAAATATGTGTTGTGTGTGTGTTTGTGTGTGTGTGTGTGTGTGTGTGTGAAAACTTTCTATTAGTTTAGGGCTGCTTAAAGGTATCCAGTTTCATCAATTATGCGATGTTATGAACGATACAACTTGCATTCTTATATCCTCGCAATTCAAATGTCAGCTAATGAATTTTGGTTGATTTTTTTCGACTGCCAAAATTAGCTTTTTTTTTTCACTTTTGAGATCCTTAAGTATAGTAAGACATCTTCGTTGCCTGAGATTGCATTTGGGATCTGTTTCGGGGGATTTGTTTCGCAAATTAATTCCAGATTTTTTCAAGACATATTAAATTAGTCAGGTAAGTTTCAAAACAAAAAGCTACATAGATATGCATCTTTCACACACACACACATATATCTATATCTATACGTATATTAATATATATATATATATATATATATATATATTTTTGACCAATAAAAATATTCCAAAATTTTCAGACACACTGGTTTGTATAACAATAGTTCTTTGTTTCATTATTTAAATATGATTCCTCGACTAGTTTCGGCTACCATGGCCATCATCAGGATAAAAAAATCATTGCTTGTTAGTAGCAGTGAACTACAGAAGTGAATGACTGTTTCTGAAGAAAGAGAACTTTATCTGTAGTTTTCATTTGTTTTTATCGTTAATTTTGGTCAGTCCTTGTGATGGTCAAACGGCCTCATTCAAGTTGCTTTTAAAATAGAGGAGGGGAGATTCCTGACTTTCGGAATTCCCTCCTTGGTCATTTTCACAGTTTTATTGGTTGCTGGGTATATATATATATATATATATATATATATCCAGCAACCAATATATATATATATATATATGTGTGTGTGTGTGTGTGTGTGTGTGTGTGTGTGTGTGTGTGTGAAAAGTGTATATAAATATAAATAAATATATATATATGTGTATAATTATTTACATATTATATGCGCGGTACTTATTAGAAAACGCTCAATCTATCCAACCAAATATATATATATATATGTGTGTGTGTGTGTGTGTGTCTGTGTGTGTGTGTGTTTTTCAACACTTCTAGCGTCTTGTTGACATACTTATGTTATAATTTTTAAGTAAATATTATTCCCTCTACTTTGTATTGAGCACTTTTTTTAAAACAAATAGTGTTTTTGGTTACTGGAATTTTATTTCATTTATACCAACCTTGTATTCGTATATATATATATATATATATATATATATATATATATATATATATATATATATGCAGGTCTGCCGCTATATGCAGGCTGGTTTGCAAAAGTCACTTGCAGGCCCACGGATGCTTGTGCAACGTCGAAGAGACAACTTCTGTAAAGAAGTTTCAATTATATATATATATATATATATATATATATATATATATATATATATATATATATAAAAAGTTTATAGTCGTTCCAACGAAAGAAAAATGTATATTTAAAAAAAAAAAAAAAGTGAGAAACCGCAAACGTTTTTGGTTATAATGTGGATTTGTTTTAATCTATATATTATATTTTATTCTTCATATTTCTGCTACACATGTTTCCGGTCTCGTGACATTCTTCAGCCAAATAAAAGGAATATATATCATATAGACAAAAACAATTCATTCACGAAGTTGCATCTTTGTGAGTAAATTGAAATTGTTTTTGTCTATATTAAAAAATTATAATAAATAAATATTGCTCTACTATCAGTATTGAGCCCCCTTTTGAATGAATGCTGTGAACATTAGAATTTATATATTATTTTCGATCCATTTTGTACCCGAATTTATTTCTAGGTTTGACTAATGCATTTGATAATCTGTTATGTGTAAGATCATCTTTGCGTTCATAGATGTTTCTTTTAAATTTCTGCAAGTTTCCCCACTGTTTTTTAAGGGGCAGTTGTGACAGTTTATTATACATCTATATCTGCTTAAGAATTAAAATTGTAATGGTTATTTTTGGTTCTACTCATATCCATAATAGTTTGGCATATAATTATTTTAATATTGTTAAGATTGGACAACTTGTTTTGGATAACAGATGTTAAGGAGTTAGTTGGTAGTATTATATATATATATATATATATATATATATATATATATATATATATATATATATATATATATTAGTTTACTACTGTTGTTGTTAATAAAGTCATTATCTTCTTTGCGGTTGTATATTTTATATATCTTTCGCTTAGCAATGCCGATGAAGTAACGACGATATTGTAGGTTTTGCTTTTGTCTTTATTCGTATTGTCCTTTTACAGATATATTTTAATTACATCTGAAATTTCACACACTTCAATGTGGCTAGACGTTACATTGCTTCAAGCCGGGATCGAAACCCGATCGATTTGGCATCAGTCAGATATTGTCGCACGGCGGAGAGAAAGAGAAATTTTAACGTTTTCTATCCGGAATGTACCAGTGGAAAGCTCAATTCATTGGAAGAGCAATGCGTTAATAGCAGCAGGAGCCACTGTTTTTAAAATTACCCTTTTCTCAAGAGAACTCAACCGGATTTTCCGGGAGCATATATATTGTCATCCACAGACAGACTGATTCGCTGTATCACACACACACACACACACACACACACACACACACACACACACACACACCTATGTATCACGTCCGATTGATTCAAGCCGGGATCAGTCAGATATCCTACCCCTAGGCTATTGTCCCACGGCAGAGAGAAAGGGAAATTTTAACGATTTCTCTACGAAATACGCCAATATTCGTGTATGTGTATATATCTGT